CTGAAGTCATCTCGCGCTTCCGTTAGTTGCAAACAAAAGTAACAACTTCAATTTCAGACCATTGCCCACTCACCACAGTCGCCCCTCTGCATCGACGCGCGGAGGCTCTACGTCCACCCAAAAAACAAAAACCCTCTCAAGTCGCAAAGCTGGAATCCGCGGCGCCAGTAGCCGGCCGACTTATGGCCCCCAATGATCGGCCATCAGTTCCTATCGAAGAAGAACACGAGTACAGCTCCATTGCACCGCCGCACATGAGAGACACCCGTCGCTGACCTGCGCGCCAGTTATGAAGCGCTCCCGCCCAACTTCTCCCTCACCGCCAACATGCTTGCGGGCGCATTCGCAGGTGTTGCGGTACGTCTCCGAGGTCGCCGCCGTGTATATATCCCGACTGACCCGACGATAGGAACACTCGGTGATGTACCCCGTCGACTTGCTCAAGGTACGTAGCTTCCCACCAAGCTCTCCATGCACTGCCGACAGCGCGCTGACTCCGGACAGACCCGCATGCAGATCGTCAACCCGTCGCCGAGCGCCATGTACAGCGGTATCTCGAACGCCATGGTCACTATATCTAGAGCGGAGGGCTTCTGGTCACTGTGGAGGGGACTGTCGAGCGTGGTAATGGGCGCAGGTGGGTAGTGTCAGGCGAGCAAGACCGGCAAGGAGAACTGACAGCATGCAGGTCCCGCGCACGCTGTCTACTTTGCATCGTACGAAGCTACGAAGCACGCCCTCGGAGGCAACGAGGGAGAAAGCCACGAGCACCACCCCCTCGCGGCAGGTGCGCAATACCACGACCACGCCAATGCGGGAGCAGCTACTGACCATCAACAGCTGCTAGCGGTGCTGCGGCCACCATCTCCAGTGATGCGCTGATGAATCCCTTTGACGGTAAGACGCGCACCACGACCTCGCTCCGCGCCTACTGAATCTCGCAGTCATAAAACAACGCATGCAAATGCACGGTTCCGTCTACAAGTCCGTCCCTCAATGCGCCCGAGAGGTTCTCCGCACTGAGGGCGTGGGCGCATTCTACGTCTCATACCCCACTACACTGTGTATGACGGTGCCGTTCACCGCACTCCAATTCATGGCCTACGAATCGATGTCCAAGGTCATGAACCCGACCGGCCGCTACGACCCCTATACGCACTGCTTCGCCGGAGGTATCGCCGGAGGATTTGCAGCGGGGCTCACAACTCCCCTCGATGTCATCAAGACGCTATTACAAACACGCGGCAATGCTCGAGACGCAGAATTGAAGAATGTCTCCGGCCTAATCCAGGCAGCTAAGATCATCCATCAAAGGGAAGGATACAGGGGATACTTCCGTGGTCTGAAACCTCGAATCATCACCACCATGCCAAGCACGGCAATTTGCTGGTAAGTTTTGAGCTTGGACACCGCAACCATTATTGATCTGACATTGCATAGGTCCGCATACGAGATGGCCAAGGCTTTCTTCATTCGGAGGAGCACCAACTCATCCACGGCCATATAACAGAGAGACGACTATTTGACTGATCTTTTTTTGAACCATTACGAGAGCCCTCTGATTCCGCGATATGCGCATTACCCACGGAACGATATACACGCAGTGTCGCGGAGAGTAGCGACCATGGCAGTATTGGGCATCCAAGGCAAGGTCTAGCATTGTATGGCGCGCTGGAGGAGCATAGGGCTGCGTCGCGACGCTTCTTCACTGCCATTGTATAGTCATAGAGGCTTTTGTGGAAGCCGATCTGGCGGCGTACTGGATGCTTGGTTATGCGAGCACACGACGGCATGCGCATTCTTGTATCATATAGCAAATTCAGTGTCGGCGTCACTCAAGACCCAAGAACATTTTCGCTCTTCAGCCCAAACAAGGTGCGTAATCGATAACAGCCGGGCGCGAAGAGCAGCCCCACTTGCACATGCGCCTTCCTCGTGGCTGTGTGAGCACGCGTATCCTGGGTTGACAGTATTACCTTGTGATCTGATGTAATAGCGCGAGAGAGAGCGTGCCCCGTTGCGTAGAGGATGCATGGATGCTGGAGGACAAAGTCGTCTTCCATGGTCGTCGCTGCTCAGCCTTCGCGGTTGCGAAACGCAGCTACCTACGTCACACACCCGCGCGAACTAAGACCGGCGACGAATCTACAAACACGAGCCCGAGACTGGACGCGAGACACCTATTCTGTCCTCCACGCCACCCCCCGCGTGAATTGGGCGCATCATATACATGTTTTCCGCTATGCGCGCCAACACGACGCAGAAGGCCTACGACGAGGCTTTCCTAGCCTGCTCGACTGCAGTCTACTTTGAGGGCCAGGTCAGTGCCCAACCACCCGCCAAGTGTCGCATGTTGCCAGCATCACTGACAGAGAGGCATATAGAACAACGAGAAAGAAGCGCTGCGATCATGGAAAACCGCCCTTGACCACATCTACTACCACAACGCCCGTCGCAACCCCTCGACCTACCGCCCCGCGTCCGAGACAGAGAGGGCACTGATCGAATCGCTGCGCCAGTTGGAGCTGCAATGTAAAGAGCGCGTGGATCTGTTGGAGGCGCTGAAAAAGAGTCGCAAGGAGTCGAAAGAGAGCCTTGCCTCGCTCTCGTCAGACAACGATGCACCCACACCACCACCCCACGGCGTGCCCCTATCGCAAAACGATCCAGGCGCATCTACATCATGGCTCGGAGCTGGATCTATACCACCCATAGAGTACACAGATCTCTCAAGACCGCCAGCATTGCCCTACCGTCCGGCGATGGCGCCACGCAAGAGCTCCGGTACTGGCTCCATACGTGACAACAGCTTGACCCAGACTCGGAGCGCATCGACGCTATCTCCAGGACCAGCGGGAGAGAAGAAGACGCGTACACCATCCCCGGAGAAGAGTGGCAGAATGCTACGAACACTGAGACCCGGGAGAGAGAGCAAGCCATCTTCGGCGAAGTTACCCAACACATTGAGAAGCCGCCCGGATGCTTCAAAGGCAGCTACCCAAGCGTGGAGTGTCAAAGCCACAGCGTCCTCCACTCGGCCAACATTGGGGGCCCCGAACCCATCTACCAGTTCTCTTACACCCTCCGCCCGCTCGTCCCTCGACAAGCCGGCTGCTGAGAGACCGAATGCTTATTTTCCGAAGTCCGAAGCACAACCGCCGCCTGCACAAGCACCGTTCTACTTTAGAGCTGGCGAGGGGTCAGCATCAACAGCATATGCGGTTCCACCACCTGGTGGTGAGACTGATCCGGGGCCGGTCAAACCTGCTACACACGAGCGAACAGCGCCAGCAATACCCCGAAAGTCTGTGGGTTTGAGTCGAATGAACAACGCGCAAGGACCCAGTACAGCATTACCATCGTACCGAAAGGAGTATCCCAAGCTCACACCGGACCCTCGATCTCTTGCCGCGCATGCTGCAGCCCATTCGTACGGCGACAGTGGGGGCGAGCGAAGTGGAGTGATGTGGGATCCGACGACAAGGAGACTTGTACCAAAACCCAAGAGCAATGACACACAAGCGCGAAGCAGTTCAGAGCAGGAGGACTCACCTGAGTCTATATCGCTGGAAGAGGACGGAGATTTGCTCAAGCAGAGGCCACCTCCAGTGCGGAAGGGCAGGGCTAGAGGTAATTCGATGCGTGCAGAACTACCGGATACCCCAGGCGCGGATAGCTCTGAGGCGGAACTGGAGCCAGAAGAGACGGATGAATGGAAGCGCAAAACGGATGAGATCATGAAGAATTTGCCACGGGGCGTCGATAAGCAAGCAGCACAACAGATATTAAACGAGATCGTGATACAGGGAGATGAGGTACACTGGAGCGACGTATCAGGACTTGAAGTTGCGAAATCCGCCCTGAAAGAGACGGTAGTGTACCCATTCTTGAGGCCTGACTTGTTTATGGGTCTGCGAGAACCTGCTCGCGGCATGCTCTTGTTCGGACCCCCTGGAACTGGAAAGACGATGTTGGCCAGGGCAGTTGCTACAGAGTCAAAGTCTACTTTCTTCGCTATTTCAGCTAGTAGTCTGACGTCGAAGTTTCTGGGCGAGTCAGAAAAGCTTGTTCGCGCCCTTTTCCAGCTTGCAAAGATGCTGGCGCCATCAATCATCTTCGTCGACGAGATCGACTCACTCCTCTCGTCGCGTTCGGGATCTGGCGAGCACGAAGCATCGCGACGCATCAAAACCGAGTTCCTTATCCAGTGGTCCGATCTGCAGAAGGCAGCTGCCGGGAGTGCGGTCACTGACAAGGACAAAGAGAGGGGCGATGCAACTAGAGTTCTTGTTCTCGCAGCAACGAATCTGCCGTGGGCGATCGATGAAGCGGCAAGACGAAGATTTGTAAGAAGGCAGTATATCCCACTGCCCGAAGATTGGGTCCGGAAGCAACAAGTCCAGACGCTATTGAGCCACCAGAAACATGAGTTGAGTGACCGCGATCTGGATCGTCTGGTCAAGCTCACTGAGGGTAGGTGATGATCATTGAGGACCTGAATCGCAATACTAATTTCTTTCCAGGTTTCTCTGGTTCCGATATAACGGCGCTCGCGAAAGACGCTGCAATGGGCCCTTTGCGCTCACTGGGCGAGAAGTTACTTTCCATGACGATGGACCAAATACGACCGATACAATATCAGGACTTTGTAGCTAGTCTGCAGACTATCAGGCCGTCCGTAAGCAAGCAAGGACTGAAGGAATTTGAGGATTGGGCTACACAGTTTGGTGAACGTGGAGGCTGAAGTACTAATTAACGGGCTGGCAATGCGCCTGCAATAACGAATCAAGTATTTACATGAGTATATGGATGATCACAGTATCAACTTCATCTGCTTCAATTGCTCTTAGCATGCTCACCCCACCTGCCTGGGTCGAGGATGGCTCCTTCCGTCTGGAGTGTGCCCGTGACTTAGCGCCATCCCAACACAGGCGCATCTCACATCCAGCAACGTGTTTTTCTTCCTTCAATCTATCTTACCATCGCTACCGGAGCAGAAAATGGCACCTCGCAAGAAGGCAGAAGAGAAGGCCACAGCCAACGAGGCCGCAGATCTGGTGTTGGAGTATCTTCGTGAGTCACTCACTTCACCTCACATCTGAGAGCTCAATATTCGCACCGCACCGTGTATTCAAAGACTAATTGGTTGCAGGCAAGCAAAACCGCCCATACTCGGCTATCGATGTTTCGGCGAATCTACACAACAAGGTCACAAAAGGTTCGTTGACCTTCCACTCTTATCCGACAACGACTGATTCAGGGCAGCGTCTGCGGCAAAGATACTGAAAGACCTCCACGAACAGAAAGCAATTGAGGGGCGTGCCGCTGGTGAGCTGGGTCGAGCCTATCTGCAATTCATATCAATTGACAACTTCAGGCAAGCAAATCGTATACCACGCTTTGCAGGTATGATTGAATCCTTTCTCTTACCCAGCATTCGCTCAGATCTGACCCACATGTAGAACGCAGCCGAAGCATGCACCACTGAACAACTCGCCGTTCTCGACGAAACCATTGTCGATCTCCGCACACAAACCACCACTCTTGTCGCAGCCGCAAAGAATCTCCGTGGCTCCCTGTCCAGTCTCAACTCCACGCTCAGCACGGCAGATCTTGTCGCCAATGTCAACACTCTTGAGACAGAGAAAGAGCAGATCGAGTCTAGACTTGATGGATTGAGGAAGGGAAAGGCGAAAAAGGTAGGTTCATTGTACTCAAAGTGACTTGTGCGTGTTTGTGCTAACTCTGCAAGGTCACGACATCAGAGCGAGAAGCGATTGAGAAGGAATGGAAGAAGAGCATTCGCGTGGCAAAGAAGAGGCAGAAGATTGTGACGGAGATGTGGAAAGAGATCAAGGAGAATTTTCCTGATCCGCAAGAGAGAGAGGACCAGAGGGAGATGTTCGACCTCGATGGATGAGGGTCTGCTGCGCTGTCAGAGTGACGTGAACGATGCTTAGGTACCATGTGCTGGCGATGTTGTACGATGTTAGATGTGAGGATACCAGGACGATGTAGTGAAGCCAGATAGTTCAGGCTCAAGACACGAACTACTTGAAGACATACAAAAGTGTATAAAACTTGCGTATATATCATTCACAACGTGCTTTGAACGTAGTTAAAACGCCTCCAACGCCACTCTGGCAAACCCGCAATGATGCGAACCAAAAAGCGAACAAGAGATGAGAGGTTAGATCCCAATGGCAAACAAGCGCCTTTACAATGCAGTGCAGACACCAATACATGAAGCACGAAACATAGCCTGCCAGGCCAGCTGGCGAGCCTACAAAGCTACCAAGACTGCGCAAACAACATCCCAATGCAACGTGACAGAACGCAAACAGCATCAAGGTGCAGGTAATACGACGACTCAAGAGCGCTGATAGGAAAACGAGCTACGGAGATCATCTCTGATCTCTTGCGACAAATTATCGTCGGCGTCGATGTGGCTGGGATCCTGGGCACGCGCCAATTCTTCGAGGGTTTTGGCGAGGGCAGCGCCTTCGGTGCGGCCGCGGTCTACGTTGACGAGCATCATGATGGGGAAGGGGAGACCGACTAAGATAGCTAGGAACCAGAAAGCCTGTAGTTGAAATTAGTATGAGGGATGAAGTTCCGAAGTGTTGAGCCGACTTACCGGTCTGATTTCGCCATAAGCATCGGTGATGGCGCCTACGATAGCAGGGCCAAAGACACTGCTGCCTTTATCCGTAATGGCGTATAAAGCGTAGAAGGCGGCTTCGTAGCCAGGAGGGATGAGTTCGCCGAATAGCGCACGGCAGTAACTGCTGAGACCGCCAAGGACGAAGCCGTAGACTGCACCTAGAGGGTACATCTCCCATTGCTGCTGTAAACCCAGGTATCCTAAGCGCTGGACTGCTGGTATATACCCCAAAAGGCCGTATATTGGAATTACTTCAAAGAGCATGATGCAGAGTAGGATTGTTTGGGTTGGTGACAAGCGGAAGAAAGCAGATAGCCGTGACCACAGGAAGGCGCCCAGAACGCCGAAGACTGTTGCAATGACGTTTATCAGGGCGAGCATGGCGTACGACATGCCTAGCGTTGTCTTTGCGAAGAGCACTGCTGTACCGGATACAGTGGCAATGCTGTCCGAAAGTAGGAACCATGCTGCGAGGAAGAGTAGTACATCCTTGAGATGTCGCGCGTGGGTCGCTGTACGACCAAGGGATTTCCACGAGTATGCAAAGTACGCGAGGGCAGTGCCAAAGTTGGAGGTTTGCGCACCGATATACAGAGGCGGTCCTGGACGGGGACGCAGCCAGCGCGCTGTCGGTAGTGTGAAGACAAACCACCACGCGCCGATGACGAAGAGGACCAGGCGGAGGCCAAAGTTGGAGGATTGGAACGCGATGACGATGAGGATACCGATAGTTTGCACAAGCAAAGCAGCAATGTAACCGATCGCGATACCGTAGGATGAGATCTTGGTTGCAAGAGCGAGTTCCACTGAAGGAGCGCACCTGCTTCTCGCCCTTGGGATTGTCAGGTCGGCGGCTGACAGATTACTTGGCAACAGTGCGGTTGTCGCATCAGCGACTTCGTCAAGAAGGCCTTCTCTTTGTCCAAGCTGGTTTGCGTATTGCGCTCCTCGTACAATATTCTCCTGCGTCGGAGTTTCACCCCCTCTCTCGTCGTCTTCTTCTGTCTCCGCCTCGTCTTCCTCGTCTGCGTACGATTCGTCGGCGATGGAGTCGGCGTACTTGACTGTTGGGTGGAAGCGCACCATTAGCGGTAGGAAGCTGTTCAATAGTACGAAACTGGCACCAAAGCATGTGTTTGAAATGATTGCCAGCACTGCGCCTAGCAGATACACCTTGGGTACTACTGGTAGGAAAAGCATGGTCGCGATGCTTCCAATAAATGCGAACCACAAGAGGAAGGTCTTCCTGAACCTCCCATGATCCGCTGCGCCGCTCATGCTAATGATCAGCAGAGCTTGTATGAGGACGGATATGCTGAAAGTGTACATGGCGAAGCTCGCAGTATTGATCTCGATACCGAGGATATGAACGACGCATTGTCCCTTTTCAGGATTCGGTTTGAACAGAGCTTCTACGGCGTTGGTGGAGAACGATGGGCCTGGATGGACGGTAGGCTTCGTGGCTTTGCACGGTGTGGAAGGATCGGATAATAAGACGCCATTCTCGCGCGCGAGTTGCTCGAGCGTTACAGGTATGAAAGACCCAATACCGCACACAACAAAGACCTGGGGTGGTTAGTGTCGGTGCTCGCGTGGGTTATAAGCTTGACGAGGCGCGTCCGAAGTAGCATCACGAGAGAGACACGCGCACAGCTTTGCGATATTGCAGCAAGCTCGCAAAGGCCTGAAGCAAAACGGGATGGTAGTAGGAAGGAAGGGATGAAGTACCTCGGCAGCCCATCCATACATGTAAAAGCCGCGGAGCTCCTTGTCGCTGGTCAACCGGGTGTCTTCGCCCTCGTAGTGGGGCTGCGAGTCGTGGGACTCCATGTCGAGGCTCTGGTCGGAAGAGAGGCTCTGCTCATCGTCTGCCTCGTTGGACTGCGATATGGACGGCACCGAGACTTTGGACTGTGAGGATGCATTGCGCGCAATGGTCGGGCGCTCATAGGGCGGGAGCTCGGGCGCGCGAGGTGACATCGAGCGATTGGAAGCAGTTGTCCGCAAAACAGGGTCCTGCGCTAATCAACGGAAATGCGTCACCGCAACTGAGACATGATGAAGGATCGAGGGATAAATGCGACAGCTGACCGGGCTGCTATTCAGGTCGGAGGGCAACTTCTAGTGGGCACGCTGAGGTCAGGCCCAAGCTGGGGAGAGATGTGGAGTTGTTGGGGTGGCAGCGGATGATCCCATGGGCATGACCTGTGAACATCTGATAAAGCGTCTACTTGCAGTAGAGGCTTATCCGAGAAAGACATTGGACAAGGCGCTTGCGCTCAAGCTCGCATCTAGATAGACTACTGGCCGCCGCAGCCGCAAGCTCGCCGAGCCGCGGACAGCAATGCGGTGAATGACTGAACGTACTAGCGATTAAAGTGGCTAGCTACATCGCATCCGCTCGACGAGACATGCAGTGTCGTTGACGCATATTATAGACAAGCTGGGCCCTCAGGCTTGACTCGGTTGCTGATGCGACTTCAGAATGTCTGGCTGGAGATGCAGGGCTCCATCATCAGCGTGCATGGGTGGAGTAAACGCCAAGGCGCTAAACCCAATCCACGCCCTCCCTCCCGTCGTCGGTACGAGAGGCTGCTGATGTTTCAACGACCTCATCGCTGCAACCACTCCACCCGCCCACGTCGCGCGCACCCCATCCACGGCCACTCCGGACTAATTCCCACCGCTCTACGGCCGCGACTGCCATCACGACGTTTTGCATCATTCACAGTCGACGATGCGCTAGTCGGCAGCGCCCCGACCTCGCTTTCTTTCACCTGCTGCATTCGACCAGCGCCCTTTCAACACTCACTGCGCCTCGTGCTATCTCGGCGCTTCCATTCTTACGCCAAAGCATCTGCTTTAATGAGCGCGCCTCACTCCTAACCTGCGCATTTCACCGCCGACTCCACCGCCAGCCCTCTGCACGCAGCCTCGATTCCGATCCAAACACCGCGCGGTTGACATTGTCGCGAAAACACCAAGGAAAAAGCGCGACCACACACTTCAAGAAAGCTATAGACGCGCGCAAAACGGGTGCGCAGACGGCGCCCCAGGCCGCGGGACGGAGGACGACGTAGTATGCCAGGCATTCTCACCATGAACCACACCGGGTCCGACTCAGCGACGGCTTCACGAGATGCAGAAAACAGGAAGCGCAGCCACAACGGGGATCTGACCAATGGCGGACTCAACGGCGCGCGAAGTGACACACCGGCAGGGGGACCTGCTGTCAATGGGGGTCCTTCGCGCGAAATCAGCACCAACGGCGCATCCATGGCGGTCACAGCAACGGCCGGTCCCACGCTGGAACAATACTCGGATCTGCCCCCGGAGATTGCTCATATTGGCCCCGAGCAGTACATGTCCCTGTCTACACTCTTGTTACGGATATCCCAGGAATCTTACAATGAGTTGGAGGAAGTCCTGAAGAACATGGCAGCCATTCAGATAGCGCCAGTGTCCAACGGCGCTCTTCCCAACGGCCTTGGCGCGGCGAATGCACAAGTGAATGCAGAGGCGAACAAGCGTAAAAAGCTGGTTGTGCTTCAATTCGCGCAGGAGCAACGGGCTAAATTCATCAAGCTGCTAGTCCTCACCGAGTGGGGAAAGAAAGCTTCCGTTGACATTTCAAAGCTCATTGATTTGCTGGCCCACGCGAGTACACAGGCAGCCCATATGGACGCTGCTGACTACAAACTGGAAAAGATTAAGATTCTGTCCAACAATGCCAGAGAAAACAACCCGGACGTTGCGACCGCCCTGGAAGTGCTATCGACAGGGAAAGCGTCATGGATGCCGAGTTTGGGCTACATACCGCCTGAGCCTATCTCTGCCGAGCAGGCCCTCAAACTCCTTCGGTACATGAACACCTCTCTCTCCATACGCCTCAACGTACACGAAAGCCTCCCACGACACCTCCAAGACTGGCGTGTGCACTCTGGACGCGCAACTTTTGTTGTTGCTAATGAACTGGAATTCGACGTCATGTCTTTTGTAGAGGATGCTTCAGAACAGTGGTTTCTCATCGATCTCCGGTTGTTGTTCACTCCTGCACCTACCATTACCGTCGGTAGCCGTTTCTTCATGCAACTCAAGCTGCAGGCCGACGTAGTTCTAAAGGAGAAGGGTCTGACCGGCCTTTTCGACTTCCTGAACAACTTCGTCCTAACGCACAAGATCTCAGTGCTTCGATCGCAGGCCGTTAATCTCGTTCGCAGCGGCTGGGCAGGATCTCTCAAGGTTGAGCCTGTGCATCGCTTGCTCGTCGTGTCTTATTGGACTGATAAGCCTGGAAAAAAGAATTGGATTGAGATTGGCGTATCGAACAACAAACCAAAGAACGGCAAGGTTTCGTGGAGAGGGCCTCCCATACCGTCGCTGACTACGCGCTGGTTCCGCCAAGGCAAAGAAGTGAAAGATGTCAAGTTCCATTTTGACTGGAAGGATCTCTCCATGGAACGCGTTATCAAGCAAGTCATCGCACGCCACACGAGTGATATCTTGCGATCCACAAAGGAGAGTTTCAAGTCTGGAGTGACGGCGAACGCACATCTTTCCGAGACCGAACCTGCCGACTCTACACTCAACGCATCGCTGGGTACGAAATCTACATCAATTGCCCTATCACTAGAGTCGGTCACTGGTAACTACATTCTGCGACCAGCTAGCGCACTATCAGCGCGAGCCGAGAATGCTTTCAACCAAGGCAGAGAGCCATCACAGATTGCTCATGTAATGACGCAAGTGCTAGCCGGCACATTGCTCAGTCTGATCCAGAAGAACGCACAACAACTCGGGTGGCAATCGGTCGCAAGACAGGCTTTGAAGCAGCAGGTAGTGTCGGCTGCTGTCAAATTGGATGTCATCTCTTCCACGCTATATTGCCCTCGCGGCTGGACACCAAACTGGGCATTGGCAGCGGTAATCGACTCTTCAGGCGAATCGTGGTGGATCTTCGAAATCGGATCTGGTGGAAACAGCCTCGAATACGCCGAGCAGATCAAGTTGGACAGACCTGATGGAAGCTCCTTGCCCATCAACCGCAACACCTTGGCAAGTCTGGAGAGGGTCGCTGTGCAGCTTCTGTCGTTCCGCGTCACAGCTCGCCAACTAGAAAAGGAGAAGAAGAATTTCAGTTTGCGACCTGAGTTAGGGCAAGCAGGCTCATTCGTGGAAGCTGGCTGTGTTCCCCGTCGATGGGTGCTGCATGTGCAAACTCCGGATCTTCTTGTGCCCCAAGCAGACGAAGACTCATGGCTTGAATCAGACATCAAGATTACATGTGAAGGCTTGAAAGTTGGGGTTCAGGACGTCTGGCATATGGCTGTCGGTAAAATGGTCAAGTCTGTTGCTGCAGATATGCATAAGCTTATGGCAGCTTCACCACAGACCGCCTTCAAGTTCTCAGAAGACGGCAACTTCAGGATTCTCCTTGCCACGCCCTTTGGGCAAGATATCCTAGGAGAGCTGCGAGCACGACTGCGAGATGTTAACCGTCTTCGTACCTTTGCCAGTACCCTTCAGAAGCGTCAAATGCGGCTTTCGTCTTCCTCCTTACAGCGCGTACAGTTCCAGTATGGTCCATCGCCATACTCTGCGACTGTCAACTTTGGCACTGAAAAGGAGCTTACCATTGAGCTGTCACATGACAATCCGCACCATCGGATTCTCCATCTGCTTACTGAGATCGCCAACGATCGGTTGCCTTCCTTCCCAACCACGGAGGTCAGTGATGTCGATGGCCTGGATCGCTTCTGTACGACTCTCGTCGCGACCCGACCCCTCTTCAAGGCCTTGCGCGAAGTCGAGGAACGATCGCCAGGCAACTACAGTAACCCCGCAATTCATGTTCACTCCGTCCTCAAATACCGACTCACATATGACAATCCGGTCTGCACTTTTGACGTGCGCCTTCAGCCCAAAGATGACCAGGTGTACTGGTTCATCGAAGACAACTTGCGTCCGAAGGATCCTCCAAATCAAGCCACAAATCTACCAACTCCCGAGCGTGCACCTGGTCATAGGCGTCTCGACAACTTACAGGCCAAGCTGAAGGAACTCTTCAGTGGGAAGGGCCCAGGATGGTTTGGTACCCGAACCGGCATGGTGGCGCACTTGGACGCGATCCCTGAAGCACTACTCAAGCTGGATGAGTGTGTCTTGAGTTGTAAAATGGCAGGAGGTTATGTCGCACCTCCACCACTTGAAAAGCCCCCGCAACAAGCGCAGAATCAGGGATCTGGTCCAAGCCAGGCGCCTGCACAGGCGAACGGGAACCAGCAGGGAAGCCAGCAGCAGCAGGCTAGGATGCAACAACAGCAGCAGCAAGCGCGCCAGCAGCAGCAAAGACAGGCTCAGGCCCAGGCTGGGAAGCAGCACCCGAACATGCAGCAACATCCGAGAAGCCAACCTCCGAACGGCAGACCCTCACAGCAGCAGATGCCAAACGGCCGCCAGCAACAACAGCAAGGTAGAGGCGGTCCAGGAGGTCGTCCGGGGCAGTCCAAAAACGACGTCATCACCATTGATTAGAAAACCTTGGGATGAGACCAGCATACCAGCTGTAATTGCGTTCATTCCATTCACGATTTGTGTACAATGTTTTCTTTGCACGTTCTTCACGTTTTTCTAGCATTGGGTTAGCGGGACTACGGTATAATTTGCGCTTTCAACAGGTTCTGCTGTCTTGCGGTTCTCGGTGGGATTTCCCACCGGATTATGTATTCTATCTGACATGGACGCGAGGTCGGCTTTATCGGCGGACGATTTGGGCCCGCGCTTTTTCTTCTTTTGCTTCGTAGCTTGTATGATCCTTCTTTTTATACCATGGTGGGAACTTGCGACGAGGGTAGACATGAACACTATCACGCCATGGCTAGATGTGGTGCTGGCGATCTACCGATATAGATACCAAATGCATAGATGCTATCAAAGGTTTATTGTGCTCAAGCTGGAAAACTCTTGTGCACCGCAAAGGCATGACCATGACGTGCTTGTTGACCCAGTCCGCGAATTTTATATCAAGAACCTGTTGGCTCGACCGGGTACTGCTGCACAACAGCCTGACACCTTGTGAAAACCTCACCCTTCATCAAGTCTTCGCCCTGCGTATTTCCATACCTCTTCAGTTCCGGGCTAACGATCAGTTTGAGTGGCCTTTCATCGGGGTTTGGTAACGACAGCAGGTCGCCGCTTCCTGGTGGTAGGATCATCATCACTCTGTATGGTTGCGAGCACAGTTCCATCCATGTCTTCACGCAGAGGCGTATAAGAGTCTCTAACGCCTCGGCGTCCTTCGGTTCGAGAACAGCTATCTTAGATAGTACCTGGTGTATTGCACCCAAAAGCGAGGTGACGGTAGCTTCATAGCTGGCTTTCAGCTTTTTCTCATCAGGCGCGGTTTCACTTGATGGGTTCATTAGATCGAGAACCGCCCTGGCCGCCTCGCAGCGACGGGCTTCAATTGCCGCAGGTATACTAGGCCACTGTGCAACATCTAGGTTTATGCATTAGTCAAATATTTTAATTCAGACGAACGAGGGCCCACCTTTGGTATAAATTGGTAACCATACATCATCACAACTCTTTCCTTCCAACCCCAAGATAGCGAACGGAGTACAAAACACGTGCGTGTATAGTAGATTCCACATAGTGTTCTGCAGGATAGCCTTCTTTAACACCCTTGTATTGACTTTGTGGATGCGTAACAGTTGGTCGTTGGAGAATGGCCATTCCACTTCACGGCGTATGTCCCATTCTAGATTCGTGAAGTCTTGTACCTGACTCACTACTGAAAAGAATTGAGTAGAGATGTCACGGTATCGCATCACCTTAACACTTCGAGCTTTCGTGCGCTGTGGGTAGGCCTTGTCGATGATAGCCTGCTTTAACTCCTCGTTTGCTAATCGAAGCTGCATAATTTCGAGGGCATGTTTCTCTGCCAGCTCAGCGTTTTGTTTCTTGAGCAATTCTCGAAGTCGTTGTTGTTGCTCGCTGAACTGAGTGGTTCTCGCCCGTGCTTCATCGCGCATGCGCAGTCTTTCTTCGTCAGCTTTGGCCTTGACATGTCTGAGATGAGAAAGTTCTTGTCTCTGCTCCGCCAGGGTGGTCTGAAGCTGCAAGATTTCTTGCGTGTGCTTCTTGGTCAGTCCGGCTTCCTGTCGTTTGAGATCCTTCTCGTGTCGCTTTTGTTCTTCTCGAAGTTTTTCTTGCTGAGTTTGTAAATCTTCGCGCAACAGCCGTCCTTCTCGTTCCGCATTGAGCTTCAATAGACCGACATTTGACTCGTACTCATTCACTGTCATTTGATGGCTCCCCATCTCTTGCCGCGTTTGTTCGCAATGTTTCTCGTATTCGTTCTTCATCCGCTCGGCAAAGCTGACCTCTAGATCTTTTATGCGAGTTTCGTAGGTGTCTTTCACTTCTCGCAAGTGCGCATCCCACTTCCAGTGTTCTTCGATCATCTGCTCTTTAAGACTGCTAATCCCTTGCTCATACCGTTTTTGCTCATCCTCCTGACGAGCCGCACCTAATTGTCCTTCGGAAGATGCCTTGGTTGACTTGTTCTCTTTGTCCTGTTGCTGTGAACCATCGTGTATTCGGGCCTCGAGATAGCGCTTTTCTTGTTCGTGGATTACAACTTGCTCGCCCAGCATGTCTTGAGCTTTCAGCATCTTTTGGTGCTTGCTGTTAACCTCCGTCCTCAGGCTCTCCACCTCGGTCCGACTAGCTCGCAGTGTACTTTTCAACGTATGAACCTCGATCTTCAAACTATCTAAGAGCCCCGCGTCTGCTCGATAATTGTCCAATGACCGGTGAGCCGCATCAAGTGAATGACAAAGCTCACGATATCGATGCAAAGCCCTGGCAGCCTCTTCTTCTGTTGGTCCATCCAACAGTGACTGTAGCATTGGGAATTCCTCTCCAGCTCTAAGCAAGAGTTCCTCAAATCGAGGTACATCCTGCGGGTTGGATGAGAACTGTCAGTACTTTGTCAGTCTCAATTCTCATGATGTACCATTAGATGAACTCACATTCTCGTCGTGCGGCTCCAACGGACCTTTGTCGCGCTGCAAGACTGCTTTTGTTGGTTTTTTTGGATCAACTTCCTTGGATGTTCCGCCAGATGTTCCGCCGGATGATACGCGATTCTTTCGTGAAGTAGCAACTGTTTCGACTTTGGCCGAGGCAGGGGTGGCAAGGCTAATGCTACGGCCCAACTGTCTTGGCTCACCCGACTGATGTGTAGGTGACACTCGTAGTTCGTTTCTGTCTTCCCATCGAGCCTGCCGAATTACATTCATGACTGAGTGCTTGGCTGGTGATACACCTGTCGTCGTGCCAGGTGAAAGTGCGTCGGTAAAGCCTCCTTTACTTCAAGCTTGGCGCAAGTGCTTGAGGATCCACGAAAGTTTGACTCGATGTTTACTCTGCTTAGCTTGATAATTCGCTTCTAGGAGCCTGTCGTACGCCTCCAGGATCGTTCGTACCCTGGTCACGTATACCGTTTGAGCAGATTTCCAAACGTCTGCAACAAGTTCTGATTTATTGGAGGCGAGACTTCACAAGACTGAGTGCGATACAGTGGGTCTGCGGAGTAAAGAAATATACTCAGGTAAGCTGGAGCCTTGTGCGTCACGTAACCTTATGGTGGCTTACCGCACTCCTAATTCGGCTTACCCCACGCGAGCCTTCGTAATCGGTCTGTCTCCTATATTCGCAACGTCATGATAGCTTTCCGGAAGCCCCGTTGCCTGGTGCGAGTGGCGACTCCGCACCGTGATGCCTCGTAAACGCGTTCCCTACTTAGGCACTTTTGCAAGCTCTCATAACATGGTAATCCTAGAATGAAGCAGATCTCGGAAAGGCTCGCCATACAGATTGGGAGCATCGTCGCCGTTGGCTCCTAACCTCGCGACATCCTCAAAGCCTTAGGTACTCTTGGACAAAAGAAAGCATGACTTCCAAGGTTGTCGTGGTCACATCTGATTGGTCGACCATCATGTGCTGGCCTGCGAGTAAGCCTTGGAGGACGCCTCCGTCCTTCCGGTGGTGGGGAAAGCGGCCCTGGAACACACGTTCCATGCACTAGGGAGCCAGGAAACGCCAAAGCTCGACTTATAGAAAACACCCTGCAAAACACGGCAAACAGTGCATACCTGCGCCTGATAGGCGTATGTTGTATTGGTATAATTTCTAACTGGTCTTAGTCTAGACACAACAATGTAGAACGGCAAGGTGACATATAGTATAGGTTTAAGGGGTCGTAACGAACTTCAAATAATAGCACCGATATCGTACGCATCAACCTTCTTGTTATCCATGAAGAGCATTTTTTAACCCCAAGGACTGCGACGCCGCTGGGGCAGTCTGTTCTGTTTCAGACTGGCTGAAGTTTGCTTCATCAGCCTGTGGAGGTAGTCTACCACCTTTGCGCGTGTGCACTTTCCGATATATAAGATAACCGAGAGCCACTGCTACAATAGCAGCCGCCACACAAACGCCCGCTATGCCACCGGTCGAGAGCCTACGAGTGCCAGAAGGGTCGCCGCTGTTATCATCTGTAGGTACGGCAGTACTTGAGGGCTCGCCAGTCAAACTCGGGGTCTCGGAAGATGCAGGCGATGTTGGAGGAGCGCTTTGCGTCGAAGCAAGGGAGGCTGCTGTTACGGATGTTGACTGCAAGCCATATGTACTCGAAGTCCAGCGCGATTCCTCGGAATTCTCCGTTGATAATATAGGCCGCTGGGTCTCGTTATCGATGCTGATGTATACGCCGGACGGGGTGAACATGTTGCTTATTCTGAGGCTGCCGTCTTCTTGTGAATCCAGCCGCCAAAACTGCCCAGTTGTTTCTTGGGTTCCGAAAAATTGTAGGTCGATGATCTGATAATTGGTGACGCCTAGCGCGAAGTCGTCCCCCTTTCCCACTGTATGCAGCCAATAGTATCCTTGAGAGCTGGTCTTTGTTGCAAACCACTGCTGACTGTCATGCCCGGTGACAGGCTCCAATATCACCGAAGCATTTTCCGGGGTAGAAGCAAGTGCACTAGACCAGCCGAGCGACTCAGTCTGCAGTATGAACGTAGTAGACACATCGATGTCAACCATTGTGGCAACCTTGAAAGGCTTAGTGTCGAGAGGGACAGTTTCAATCGCGGTGTATAGAAGGCTGCACATCAATATATATGAAGAGTAAAACCCGAGGTTATTTCCTGATAATCCCATTAGAGCTGCGGCTGGTTCTTTTTCAGCGCCAACTCATGGTGTGCATCGGGAAGCATTCGGGAGCCGCCACAATATTGCCTTGTTGCCTATTTTGACTCAGCCTCGTCCGCAGCATGCTGCGGTCTCTTTCTCGCTTCTGATTACCGGTACAGGATACCATTGTATGGCGCATTCACCTAGTGGATAATACTTGGCTGATCTTCCGCTGCGATAAGTCAGGCTGTGGGTACCTAGGTAGCCGAAGAACAAAGCGCAAAACAGTTACATAAATTCATTCAAACAGCATGATCATGATTTATCATGCATACAGTTATGGATAGACTACCGCGCCACGCGATAGTTTGTGGTGCTTCCACCAAATAGAAGCCTCCAAAGAGCCGCCGATTAACTCCAAGACCAACTTCAGCGTAGCATTATAACGTACGGGCTGTTGCTGCCATTCTTCCACTGTGAAGCTGACTTTATCATAGCGGATATCCAACACACATGCGATGTCCAAATCTGAGAAGAAGTTAGTGACTAATGACATGGAGGTCTAAGCGGATCGACCGACCTTCCTTGGCATTCTGGTAACGTCGAGGCCGCTGATCTTCATCATCGGAGTTTCTGAAGATCTCCAATTGCGTCTTGCCAGCACTAAGATCCCTTAGTGTAAGCTGAAATGACACCTCCTCTTTACGCGGCTGATCTGACAGGACTAGGTCACCCTTATTGAGTAGCCATGTGAGTTGAGATTGCGCGTACGTGGCTCCATGGATCTGGGTCATATCCTTTTCTACGTGGAACGTATTTGAGTAGAGTTGGTCGAAGCAAACCGCGTAGTTGTGTCGGCAAACATCGGTCCTTCTCAAGTTCGGTATCGCATCTTTCTCGATACCACACACCACTGCTCCTCGAACCACTGCTGTCCAGGACTCCTTCGGCTGTCGGTAGCTCATCTGCATCTCTTCCTCGGTGATCGTCTCCTTGAGGCGATGTTTTAGGTACTCAGACGCCCCAAAACCACCCACAAGAAACAAGTGCTACACGAAGAGTCAGTATTGAAGATCAGTCACTGGTGGATCGCTAGGCAGATACCTTTGGACGACTGCCTCTTTCTTCGATGCGATCAACATGTTCCCAGATGAGCTCAACTATCTGTTTGATGCAGGAGTCGAAAAAGCCTCGCATTGTCGATCTACAAATCATAATAAGCAGTGATGATATCAGGAGGCACTAAACATACTGTGGAATGGTAATTAGACCCTTGTTTACTTTACCAAAAATATCAAGGTTCTCCAACTCCCCTCGTAGGCTGAATCGAACATCAGGTGTTGAGAATGCAAACTGCTTCTTGACATCGTCAAACGCTTGCATGAGTTCTCTCATGGCGGGAGTTTCGGAGGCGTGATTTGCGTTTTTGTCGATGTCCAGATTTGGGTCGAGCTTTAGATATTCCTCCTCTCCAAGCAGCATTCTCAGCCACTTTTTGAACTCAAGGTTGATGAAAATGGATCCGCAGCGACTGCCTGGTATAGTAATTAGGCTCTGCATGGTCTCAGACTCAGTCTTACAAACCTGTGGGCTTGCCAATCTGCTCCAATTCGAGAGTTGGCGATCGTTGCGTAACTCGATATGAAACAACATCCTACATCCAAGATTAACCGACCATTGAAACAGCGCCAGGTACAAAAGTGTCATAGAAGGCTTACAACAGTACCGCCACCTGCGTCGCAGAGAATAAAGTAGTCCTTAGACTTTTGACGCCGTTAGTCATGGATACCTCCAATCGAAATTGACGCTTACTTGGAGGAATTCTTCTTCTTTTTCGTCACGATACCACCGCGCAGTGTAAAGCGCAGCTGCCTCGGGCTCTGTCACGAACATGATCGGCCTCAGCTTTGGAAAGTTGTCCTTATTAAACCCAGCTTTCGTGAGAGCTCTGTATGTGGAGTTCATAGCCATATAAGACCACTTCTAAAGCTTCGTCAATAGTTTTTCACGCCGAGAGATCTGTGGACATACTGTGGGTATTGTCACAACAATATCCGTCGTTGTGTGTTTGGCGAACACGTTATCCTCGTCTACTCGCACTTCCATTTGCACGTAAGCAAACAATTTCTCGAGGTAGTCTGTCACAATCTCCTCCGGGCTCTTGTGAGAATACGGCGGTAGGTCGTTCTGGCCTTTGCTCAACATCATCTCGTCAAAGTTCAGATTCTTCATGCCGTCCAGAACCTGTAAAGTCATGTCAAGTTCCCCTAATAGATCTTCCACGCCAAGCTCCAACTTAGTGTGAATCATTGTCACTGCATCTGCGCTCAGACTCTTACCCCATTGCTGCTCCCCGGCCTGACTTGAACGCGAGTAAGAGATCACGCTTGGAACCTTCTCCTCGTTGTCCATCTGCGGACCCCATTGCTCAATTACATCGATTTCCTCGAGAGAGCATTCTGCACCTGAAGGTGTAGCCCACGCAATGCCTATATGCATCCCTTATTTTAGGACTAGCACGTCGTACGAGACGAAACAATGTTCACTCACCACTGAATGTCGTGCCATAGTCTATTCCCAAAACCAGTCGTAGTTCCTGAGGTTCCTGTAAAATCTTCTCCTCGCCTGCTGGAACAGTGGCATCAATCGGCCCATGACCTTTCCCAGACCCTGTACTGATGGGTGCTTCCAGTTTCGCCTCCTCGGTCTGCTCCAGTGCAGATACATTCTCGAAGTGGTAAATTTTGTTCATTGGGAAAGGTTATGCAATGGTATTCTCAGGCGGTCGTGGCTTCGTTGAGACTTCGAAGATCTGGATCTGATCCTCACTGTCCCATTGGATAGTGGTTCCTGTCTTGGATGGTGAAGTAGAACTCTAGACATACTAGAGCATAGAGTAAACGGTAGGGCGAAGACGACGCCAGCCGAAAGCACGCATCATAACTGGGTAGTCAACGGTTGGCACGTCGTTCAGATTTTGCCACACCCATAGCACACAGCCGTGTGCGTCCGTGCTCATGTGGTGTGACAGCGATTTCAAGTATGCGCCGGATTTGGAAGTAATTGACGAGTGAGCTGAAGAGTTCTCGTGTTCGTATGCATG